GTGGCGCATGCCATACGCCTGCCCGCGTCTGCGCGCGCACAATCTGAAGCCGCAGAGCCAGACTCGCCCGCATGGACATCGACGCCCGAACGCAACGGGCTGAACAAAAGCCGTCCTTCATCTCCAGGGTATGCAGCTTTCCTGTCTTCCTAAGCACGCTTGTCGTTTTTACGCTGAGATCCGCAGCAGTTGCCCCGACAACCGTGAGGCACGATGTGTATCTCATTTTCGCCGCAAGTTTAGTTATCGCTGCCGACGAGCAGGAAACAGCCCTGTGCTGGTCAGGAAGCACAATACTGTGCTCCGCCACCATCCCACTGCAACACTTCCTACCTATTCTTGCACTGCGCAGCAGCTACGCGCGGGCCGTTCCCCGTGCTTCGAGCCCTCCATGAACTGCAGTGGACCACTGTACTAAATGATGCAGGACACCTGGCGATGCATCGCGTGCGACACGCTGCTCATGACGTGTACAGATTCGTCTTCTGCATTACATCCGCTGGGTTTCGCGCGGAATTATTGCTTTTCTATGCCCTCACTTGCCACAGGAGAGCCCTCTTCGAGTCCACACAAATTATGGTCGCGGTCGAATATGACCATTTTCTCGCTGAAAAGTTTCATGTCTCTGGCAAAGCGCTCCTGGTCCTGTTCAACCAAATGAACGAACCTGTCGAGCCCCCCGGGTGTGTTAGAGTCCTTTTCAAACAGTTCAGATAAGACCACTGTGCGCAAAGCCTTGTTAGTCGGGACCTGACCCCGCGCTTCCAGTATCGCCGTGACCTGATTTCTTACGTTTTCATCCAGCTTAAACAACTGTCTAATCGTTCGTGGAGGTCGAGGTTCGCCTTGCCATCGTTCCTTAAATATCTGGAGAGCATTTCTATACACTTGCAGTGCGTTGTGGCTGGGTAGTGTGACCGAGCGCTGGTACCAAGGGTCCGAACATATATCTCTCGAGCCCATACATAGGCAGACCTCGCGTAACAAGTCCAACACATTAACGGACTGGCCTATATCAGCGTATTTCAAAGCAACGTTCTTCATTGCTTCGTATGCTGCGGTTCCTCTGATGGTCGGGAACGGAGGTTCCGCGTATGTCGACGTCGGTACCCACGTCTGGGATTCGCGAGGCCCTCTCTGGAATTTGGCATTCAGTAAATTGCGAGGCGCGTAACGGGCCTTTCTGTCATTCCCAGCTGCGAAATGGCTCACTAGTCTTCTAATGACCCAGTTCTCCGGGGCGCACTTTACGCTCTCAATGCCGTAAATTGGCTCCCCGGAGTCCGAAACAGCACCAGGATTAAGCATACTGGGCGGCCAAGCCTGTTGTACAAGCCGCGATGATGCGTTCATCAACTCTGGATATCCATTCGAGCCCCGGAACGCCAGTCCGTTGAATCCAACATGCTTCGTAGTCCTCTGCGATACAACTCCCTGTCCGCTTGGCGAGAACGGTTGGTCCAGCGGGACCACCAAGGGAGGTACCACTGATTCATTTTGAGTTTGCGGATGCTCCGAATTACTTAGTGGAACAGAGGTCTGACTGTCACCAGCTAATTCGGACAAGTTGGCCGCAGGTACGTCGAAAAATCGCTCTTCGTACGCAAGTTCGTCCTGCGGTCGGCGAGTAGGGGAGGAGGCAGAGATCCGGACCATTCCTTCGGCAACAGGAAGAGCCGGACCGAGAAGATGCAAGACGTCACAGGACAGTCTTTGTTTGGCGACCTGGCGGCATGCAGCAGCGAAGTGAATATTTCGTTTGGTGAAACCGAAATCGTTAGGGGGTTTGGTTTGATATCCCAAAGACTTAAAAATACCAGCAAAGTCCACGCTTGCGAGTGGGTTCACTGCAAATCCCCTAACGTTCCCGCTTCGGGAGTTTATCGATTCAAACTCACTCAGAAGGTCATCAATGCTGAGAAGGACGGACTTTTTCCGCCTGGTCTGCCATTGTCCGAACAACATATCGGCTAACCATTTCCCATGGTTATTCTCCAGAAAAACGACTATTACAATGTCCGCCAGCCCTTGATCCACCATATATCGTGGCAACGCGATCGTTGTTAACCAATTTTTCCCCACAGCTGCGTTATCTGAAACGATTAGTTTGATTGCCTCTCCCTTACACCGCAAAAGGTGATCAATCAACACCATTTCAATGATAGCTGAAGCATTTTTTGGTCCAGTTCCCTGTTCGTGGGAGAAAACAATAGAATCCTTCGTGACAGCGTTGACATGCGCATTGAAGTTGAAGCGCCAGCGTGTAATATCTGCTGAAACGTACACAGTAAAATGTGGCAAGTCGACCTTCGTCATGTCATCCTGGTGGGTGATCATGGCGTGGTTGGCCATAGAGTTCCACCCGTTTCCAATAAAATTTAGCTCGCGAAAACGATTTTCCACGGAGCGAAAGAAGTCGCCCCAAGACTTCACAATTTTTCGTATATCCGCATCGCGCCGGTTGTGAACTACGAATGTACTTAGTGCTTCTTGCTCTTGGCACTTTTTTGTGGCAAGTGCTGCAAGAAGACGGTCGCTCTCGAACTGGGTGTTCTGGTCAAAATCTTGGGTCCCGTCACCGAATTGTGAACGGTGCTGATGCTCCAGCTGTTTTGACTCGTAGTAGTACTGCAGGATGGCGTATCTCAACGTCTTGCAATGAGAGCAAGCGTTGTGGTCCGATTGATTGAATTCTACGCGGCACCTTCTTGCCTCAAGATACCGATTTATCATTCTTTGTAGAGTTGAGTCTGACATCTGCTCGTCGACTTCGACGTCCTCGTTTAACATTCTCCTCAGCAGCTTTCGTAGCTTCTTTTTGGTGTTGATCTCAGGGGAGTATACTCGGCACACGTTCATACCATGGCCTCCAGCCGGATCCGCACGAAGAACCATGTCCAAATTATTTTCGACTTGTTCACGGACGTGGTCCGGGTACCTGTTCATTGGGTGCATTTTGTGGGTACGGTAGCCTTGCACTCCTCCCTCAGTAAAGGACCTGTGCTCAATTTTGGGGTTGGAGCACATGGCTTGGAGAGCCATACGCACATCCGAAATGTGCCCTTTGGACACAGTATACAACGCAGAGAGAGCAGCGTCGCACACTTTTGTCGGGGCGTTGGAAAGCGTACAGAACATTGCATTAAGGAGGAATCTATTCTCCTTTCGCCGCGGGTTGAGCTCCTTCGAGCATTTCGAAAATTCTCGGTACTCGCTCGTTAAGAACACAATATTCAGAGCGCTTAGACAAGGCTCACTACACCCACAATCCCAGGTTGGTAGTTCTTCGATTGGGGGATACCCCGCTCGATCTTCGACACTACGATGCTGACGTAACCGGGTACCTGTATCGTCAACGATGCAGGAAAGCTCTATCTCGGTGGCCTCCCCAGACTGTTTGCTTGTGCTCGGTACTTTCTTCCTCCCGTAAAGAAATTTTTTTGAGACGCCCAGGAAGCAGCAAATCGCTTCCGTGCAGAGCTTCTCCGAGGGACATTTCGTGCCACTCGGTGCGTCCTCCTTACCGTAGAGAAACGGTAGAACTCGCACGACGAAGTTTGCGAATTTTCGCAAACCTTTTTTTCGGTCTGTCGAGGCAACGTCCGCACTAAACCCACCTTCTCTCTCTTGTCTGGATGGTGCGTAAAAGCCAATGTACGACCCACCACTACCACGTCGTCTCGTGTCAACAAGATCGGTAATAGGTGCGATAGACGAATGTAATCGTTCCGCAATTTCCTGAATTAGGCGAATCTCTTCGAAGAGCCGAATCTTTATAGGGTCGATTGCGATGGAGGCAAAACAAAAACGACTGCAGCAGTGCCATATGGATGTCGGAAACACGTCCTTATAAGCACGGTAAGCGGTCTGCGCCCTTTTCTCTGTATTCAAAAGCTCTGCAGCGCCACGGTTAATGACACTGGCTGATGACAGCGTCAATTCTTTACTTCCTCCCCCTGTAGAAAAGACATCATGGTATGGTCCTCGCTGTGCCCACTCAACCAGAAACTTACATGTCGCCCTTCCAGCGTTGAGGTCGCTCTGCCAATCGATCTCCCTTCCACCAAACTGAGATTCTAAATCAGACGAGTTCAGGTCATTGAGGTACTCCTACGCTTCTTGTGGAGCATTACGAGCAAGAGACATGCGGCGATCCCTTGACTGACTCATTTTTGGTGAAATAGCAGTAAAGTTTCTCGAACACTGTAGAGGTGGAGGTCGGAATTTGACGTTTTTGTGAGTTGCAAAGGCGGAAGGATTACAAGGCAGCAATAATCGTTTTCGGGACAAGTTGGAGGCGGTGGAAATGGAGGTCTGCTGTGCTCGTCTTTTTGCGAGGAAAAGCGGGCGTTCAGGTCTAAAGTAGAAAAAGGCAGAGGTGTACAGATAGTGAGCAAGTGCGACCCTAGCAAAGGCACCGGTGGTGGATGTCAATAATGCAAGGCAACGAATTTGGAAGTCTGCGGTGACCTTATGTTCGCGAGTAGCGGCGGACCTCAAGGCCAACAGTGATAAATGGCGGGGGTGTGGCGGGGGTGACCAATCGTGCTCACAGAAAGGCAGCGGGGTCGAGGATGAGAGTTATCGTCTCTGCAGCAAGGGGGAAAGCGGCGGGGATGGAGACGGCGGAATTGGTTAAGGACAACGGAGACGGGGTGGGTTGCGAGGCGGCGAGAGAGCGGGAGAAGTGCAGAGCGCGAATATAGAGAATTGTGGACTGATCGGCGAAGCCTTCGATGCCCAGAGACAACTTCTAGTTTGTAGACGTTTAAACAATTGAACGGCAATCGATTTCGCAACTTTTGAAGAATTTGGAAAGTGGCTTCTGCACTACTCAAAATGTTCCCATTTTCCGAATATAGTTTCGCTTTGACATCCATCACTGTTCCAGTCGAATTACAGAGAACCAGGTATGTTCATCTGTTGCAACGTCGACCTGGAAGCGCACCAATGAAATTTGAAGGATGAAATTGGAAAACAAATAAACTTTTATAGTGGACATGCAGCCAGAGATGTGGCCATCTCATGTTCCAGAGCCACTGTGCGACGATTCCAAGGCCAAAACGTCTCACCATCTGGGTCGCATTTGGATGTATTCTCCTGATCGCGACTCTGCTAGCGGCAAGTTGTCGGTGAAAATTCTCGAAGGGCAACGAGAGCTAATTGCGTAGTAGACGATGTGTAAGAACGAGTCACAAGCTGCTAGATGAGAGCGAAGCAGGTTTTGTCGCAGCATGGCATGTGTAGCCTGGTCGAATCAGGCCCTCTCTAAGAGCATCCCCACCGCGTCGATTCTATTGCCGGATAGAAATACAACGTGTACGCTGACCATTCGCCGGTTGCCCGAATTGAATTTCGTGCCTATTCGTCAATCTATTCGTGTGGAATCTATTCGCGTCAACCCCAACGCATATGTTGCAAATCTATCGCTATATGCCCGCGCAGACAACGGCGAGACGTCACACATCGTCTGCGAAGAGGCGATCGTTCATCGAGACGCCCACCCCTCGCCGTGAATCCCGCGCGGCTGCATGTCTCTCTTCCGCAGCCTGTGCCCTCTTTCCCTCTTCGTCGCGCGCCCTCCCTCGGGTATTGTCCAACTACGCGCTCTCACGAGTTATCATCGCCAATGAACCGGAGAGCAGTCCTCGGAAGCGTCCTTCAGTACAGTATATGGACGACAGCGATGGCGAAGATGAAAGCATCGTCGCGAGCATGCACAGGTCACGCGCCACCGGAATGCATGCTGCAGCGACGAAGCAGCGGAGGTTCTCGGGCGAGAAGGATGCAAAATTGGCCAGAATTCGGCTGACACGCCTGGCACGTGGCATTCTATCGCGGAATCTATTCACCAGATAGAACTTTTTTAGAATCTATCGGCGCTCGGTTAGATCCCAAAATTGTTCTATTCGATTTCGGAAAGCGATAGAATTGCGCGGTGGGGTTGAAAATTGTGAGCGGAAATTCTATTGATCAAATAGATGTGCGCGGTGGGGTTGCTCTAAGGATTCTGTGGTCGGGCATGGATGGACGAGGATGGATCAAATATCGCTCCTGATTGGTTCATTTATTGTTTTCATTAATACATATGACACTTCATATGGACGATCATGGACGAGAATAATTAACATGACAAGTACACAGTAAGCTTTTGCAAATCAATAAAGTCGAGACCTATTGGCTATCGCCAACAGACCTTGATCCATTTCTGATTCATTTGAATTCAAAAAACAAGTCAAAAAAGGCGGTAGAATCCCAACACCTCTTCGAAAAAGAACTCCCAATCGACAAAGTCTTTCGAAGTTCTCGCTCTCCTGTACGAATTATCTGATCCCCTACAGATTCCTTGAAGCACGCAGTCTTCAGCCTGCCTATCAATAGTTTCCTTCATTTTTACCTTTTATCGCAACAGCAAAAATGGCAGAAGGTTCAGAATCTCCGCGACTGAGGAGAAGTCCTCGCTTTCAGCGTGTCGGTCAGTCACTTCCTGCCACAAGAACATCCACTGACGAACTTTCTGCTCAACGGCGCATACTACGTTTCGACAGCGACGAGTGCGTCATCGTTGAAAGATCTGTTGATGGGAGGCCAGAATCCAGCTCGCCAACAAACACAAACAGCGCGTTGGCAGCTGCTGCAGATTCTCAAGAGCGAGGTGTTGGTGACGGTGCCGTCGTCATTGATGATGACAACATTGGACCTCGAAGCGCACAAGTAAGAATATCGACAGCCAGTGATATGTCCCGATTGTTCGCTTTTCTTTCACAGCTACCAGTTAAGAGGCTTAGAGTCATTTTAAAAAGCTGGGATTGTCGTCAAAGCGGTAAAAAAGAATCTCTGGTAGCCAAAGCGGTGCTGCACTTGCAGCTCTCGCTTTTGTCTGGTAAGAGCTTGGATGAAATTCTGTCAGCTCATGAAGAAACACGGAGATATGACTCTTGGTTGCGAATAAGACTGCTAAAGGATGAAAACTTTCCGTTGTCAATTGATCGAGTGCCCACTGAAGAAAAACTTGTCCAGGTGCTGTCGACTATAGAAGCCAATGATTACAGGGAAAAAAATATTTCCATAGACCGAGCACGATCAGAAGTTAATAGGGTGGATGGTTCAACTCGAAGGGATGTCACCATCCAACCTCGAACTTCAGGTGGTCAGGCTAACCCGAACATTGCTGAAAACACAGAGAGCACCACGTTCGGTATCAATGAGTTTGCACGGCTTTTAATTACAATTCGAGATGACGAAGATGCAAAGAGTGCGATTATTGCCATGGGACAGGAACTGTCCAGGGCTCAACTGGATGCAGGTGTGACGAGGTTAGATTTTTGGACAATCTTGCAAAGTAGATTTAACGATCCCATGCAAAGGCGTTTTCTGAACATGACAGCAACCCTTGATGGAGTAGATTCGTCTTTGCATCCGTTAGCGCATCGAACAGCAACCTTCTTGAAGGACAAGTTTAACGATGCAAAAGCCAGTTTTACACAGTACGTCCCGCGTTGGTCCGCTTCTGGGCAGAATGATCCCGACAGGTTTCGCCATTTTCTTCCTTCAAGTTCTAGCGGTGAGCTAAACGCACTCGGGAAACGCATGCAGGTAATGTTTGTTTGTACTCGCAAAGGAACCCCTTTCGAGGAAGAGCATTTCTCCAATGTATGGTGTAAATTGATTCCGGGTGGCGCCGGACGGGATGAAGGATCAAGGGTTGGTAGTACTGTTGGGGAAGGGGGGTCGACAGGACGAACACGCAGGAAAAGGTCACAGCCGGATGAGGGAGTTAAGGACATTGCCACTTCTCTTTCAAAAATTGCTTCTTGTTACGAGGGGCGGAGGAAAAAAATTGAAGCGAACGATTCCGAGAAGCAATTGAAATACTACTCATGTAGACTTAAGAAAATCAAGATTTTAGAGGACGTCGTCAAAAGAATTTCTGCACATCCCGACGATATGCGTCTCCGAGACGACTCGGACGACGCTTCCGTACTGCTTGCGCTGAGGAAACTGCAGAAGGATGTAAGCAAGGACCTTCTTTCTGAGTCAGAAGAGGACGAGGGCCAGGTGTGATGCCAACTTGAGGTTTGGGAGGGTGTTTCGCACGTTGTATTCTCTCTCCGGCTAAAGACTGGTAATTACATCGACATCGCGTCTGAATTTTCTTTTATGCCCATTACCAGTCTTGTCACCATCCTCCACCCAGCCCATCACCCCTCAATCCAGGGCTAGGAGGAAGTTAAGAGGACAGAAATCGTTACAGTATTGCTATAGATGATAAGAGGAAAATAGAACAGCAGAAGGGGGACAATCTTGTTTAATCATGTACACCCGGGGACGGTATTTATTGTCACTGATACCATTTCCGTGATGGAAATATCGACCCCTAAACATATATTAATGTCAGTGATACTATTTCCGTACTTACACTATTTCAGTGAAAACGGTATTACTGTCACTGATATTGTCAAACGTAACAATGAATAGTGTAAGTTAGATCCCATTAGAGCCTACAGCATTTCTTTTCGTCCTACCAAAACCTCACATGCCTGCCTCTAATCACAAGTCCTGACGCTGGCCCCCCCTCCTCTTTCCTTATCGCAGATGCCCCTTGTTACAACTCTGCATCGCCCAACCTTTTCCTATACACCAGACCAAAGACCGACTAGTTGACCTGTTCTTGGTACAAAACGCTTTTCAGTAATGAATGCCTGCGTATCTCCACTCCCGCGCACAAATTAGTGCTCCCGAAACGAACCGAACGAATCGCATACCACTACCATCCCTCCGGACCGGCAGTGAGATGGGTCCGGCTCAAAGGAAGGATTGTTCTATGTCTGGATTGATCCGTCGTCGTCCCGGGCTCTGACATGAATTAGTGTCAGTGACACTATTTACGCGGTGACACTAATTTAGCGCTGACACTAAATACCGTCCCCGGTGTACACGACCTCATCGCCACCGCCAACAAACTCATTAGCTCATTAAATAAATTTGTCGAGCACCTCCTTCGTGAGCTCGCACCTGACGCCGACCACCCGCTGCACCCCCATTCTCCACCCGAAACACTCTCCTCGAAGGCATCTACCACGCGGGACAGTGGGCTGAGCTATGGCATGCTCAAGTGGCGCTTTCAAATTGAGGGAGGCGCGGAAAGCAACCAAGGAGCTTGAGGAGGCTCGCAAAGCTGGAACTGCCCCACCCGCCATCGACGACTTGCCCACAGAGCAGTACCACGACGAGCTCATCACAACCGCCAACAAACTCATTATTAGTTCATTAAACAAATGTGTCGAACATTTCCTTCATGAGCTCGCACACGACGCTGACCTCCCGCCGCACCCCCATTCTCCATCCGACGATGTCCACAGAGGAGTAACTCGACGAGCTCATCGCCACCGCCAACAACATCATTAATAGTTCATTTCAGAAATTTGTCGAGCACCTCCTTCGTGAGCTCCAACCCGATGCCGACAGCCCAACGCATCCCTATTTTCTATCCCACAATGTCCATAGAGCAGTGTCACGACGAGCTCATCGTCACCGCCAACAACGTCATTATTAGTTCATTAAAAATGTGTCGAGCACCTCCTTCATGAGCTCGCACCCGACGCTGACCTCCCGCCGCGCCCCCACTCTTCATCCGACGATGTCCACAACGCAATATCTCGACGAGCTCATCGCCATCTCCAACGACATCATTAATAATTCAGTAAAGAAATTTGTCGAGCACCTCCTTCGTGAGCTCGCACCCGACGCTGACCTCTCGCCGCACCCCCATTCTCCATCCGACGACGGCCGTAGAGCAGTGTCACGACGAGCTCATCGCCACCGCCAACAAACTCATTAATACTTCATTTAAGAAATGTGTGGAGCACCTCCTTCGTGAGCTCGCACCCGACGCCGACAGCCCAACGCACCCCCATTCTCTATCCCACGATTTCCATAGAGCAGTGTCACGACGAGCTCATCGTCCCCGCCAAGAACGTCATTATTAGTTCATTAAAAATGTGTCGAGCACCTCCTTCATGAGCTTGCACCCGACGCTGACCTCCCGCCGCGCCCCCACTCTCCATACGACGATGTCCACAGCGCAATATCTCGACGAGCTCATCGCCATCTCCAACGACATTATTAATATTTCATTAAAGAAATTTGTCGAGCACCTCCTTCGTGAGCTTGCACCCGACGCCGACAGCCCGCCTCACCGCCATTCTCCATCCGACGACGGCCGTAGAGCAGTGTCACGACGAACTCATCGCCACCGCCAACAAACTCATTAATAGTTCATTAAAGAAATGTGCCGAGCAGCTCCTTCTTGAGTTTGCACTCGACGCCAACCGCCCGCCGCACTCCAGTTTTCCAACGGACGATGTCCATAGAGCAGTACCACGACGAGCTCATCACCAGCGCCAACAAGATCGCCTCCCCCGGCAAGGGTATTGTCGCCCTTGATGAGTCGACCAAGACCATCGGCAAGCGTCTGGCTTCCATCGGAGTCGAAAATTCGAAAGCGACCGGCCAGGCCTGTCGCAGCTTCCCTTTTCAATTGTGCAGACCTTGGAGATTACACCTCTGGCGCCATCCTTTTTGAGGAAACGCTCTACCAGGACTCGGACGAGGGCAAGCCATTTGTTGACTGCTTGAACAATATTGGCATCATCCCGCGTATCAAGGAGGAAAGATATCTTTCTCCCTGGGGAATGCAGCTTCCTTTGAGACAGTTTGGGTGTGGAGGAGGAGAGCGGGGCAGGGCGTTATCGCAGCGACTACATCTATGTACGAGCACACACACTGCGAGCGTTCACCGTCAAAGGCACAGGATTCGGAATCTGTCTATTCTTACCCTTAACAATCGCAACCAGAGCATCACGTTTCATACGAGAAGATCCGGAACGCTGAACTGCGGATCGCGCTGTGACTCTACCCTGCGCTTCTGGGTGAAATTCTTCGGATAGCTCCTCAGTTTGTATGTACCACGCTTTGATATCCTCCTCCAACACATCCATTCCCTCCTGCGTTAAACCTTCAGTTGCTGAGTCCGGCCCGTCGTGTTTCGTACAAAGGTTGTGCAGTTTCATCAGCAAACAGACAATATCAGTGCATTTGTTCACAGAATACTCCAATCCACCTTTGAGAATGCGCCAACGCGCAACTAGCATGCCGAACGCCTGTTCTATATGAATGCGCATGGACGAAAGAAAGAAATTGAAGTTCATCTGATCGTAGTCCGCATTGTCCCTAGAAAAAGGCGTTATCAATTCTTCCGTGCAGGTGTACGCGTCGTCACCGACTATGTAAAACGAATCGCTGAGAATCCCAGAGTCTAGATCCTTCTTGAGTCCGGACACCGCATACGCCAGTGCGTCATGCGTCGCTCCTGTACATACAGCGGAAAAGTACCGGAAAATGTAGTTTGCGTCACAAAGAGCTTGAACTGGTAGAACATAAAAACCTTTCCGGGAATAGAAAAACGCCGGGTTTTCACAAATTGCTGGTTTCTTGATCTTAGCGCAAATACCGTCTAGAGCCCCCACACAGCCAAACAAGGGGCTCGCTTCGGGGCGTGATGTCTGAAAACCTTGCGCAATACTCTGCAGAGCCAGTTTCGTCTTCGGAAAGCCCTCTAAATGGAGACGCTTCATCAAAGCATAGCTTGTCGAGTTAAAGATTTCGAAAATAGTAGATTCCTTTACTTGATATGCCAAACAAATATCACAGTGGCTTCCTACAGCAAACATCCTCAGTGTGATTGCAAGCCTTATTTCTGCCGGGATTGTTTTTCTTCTGTAGTCCGATGCTGACACAAATCTGCGATCCAGGAGGTCGTGAACAGTGCTGAGAAGAAGATCAAACGTAGATCTAGACATACGGAAAGTCTTTCTGAACATTTCTTGGCCGTAGAAATCCGTGATAGTGTCAAAAGAAAAGGGGGTGGTGAATAGAAGAGTGTGGTGTCCCGAAGCTCTTTTTTTCTAACGCCGTTGAGTTGAAATGACGACAGAGCTTCCAGCAATCGCAGCAGCACAGACCACAACCGATGAATCCGAGTTTTCCGTGTGGTTGCGAGTGTCAGGTTTCGATTTAAACTGCTGATCTTCCTGTAAGTCATTCAACGCTGAAAGCGAAGACAACGACGAAAGCTTTTGGCTTCTTACTACAGGATAAGATATGTCCCTAGTGAAAGATTGGGATCTTTCGGAGGAAACGTTTGAAGTTTGAGCCATTGCAGATCAGGAAGAAGGTTGGTTTAACGGCACAATGGTGAAAAGAAGGGAAGATAATCAGGAGGTGTCTTTGCGGATGGAGGAGAAAAATGGATAACTCTTTGCGGCATGTCGACGGATCCATTTGTGGGCATGATGACGTCAAGATTAAAATCTTCGAGATGCTGATACCGTGATGCTTGATCCATTCTTAGATCTGAACCTCGTCATTTACAGTACCACGGCGCAGAACATTATGCACCCAATTTTTTACAGCCTCTATTGTATTTGACGTCCATACATGTGCATAAAGGGGGGGTGCTGGAGACGTCGGACAAAAACCTCAATATTAAAAGGAAAAAGTACTTGTAATTGTCAAGCAATCACCATTTTTTATGTTTTGCGACGGGGACACTCTCAGCCTGTCGTCCACTGGGACTTGGCGAAAACAACCACGGACACAGAAGAGGAGTGAGATTGAAGCGCGCGGACACTTTTGCACCTCAACCGAGCACTAAGATCGGACATCCAAGCAAATAAATAAAAAATAGAAAAGTCCGCCTATTTTGTATTTTTGGGTTGTTGCACACTTATACGTAGAAAGCCGTAAGCAATCGATTGAGATATTTTTTCTTTAATTTCAACCACGTCGTTCTGATATACGGCGCACTATCTGGCGCCGTTACGCGCGGCGGTGCTCCTTGGCCCGTGTCGGAGATATTTTTCAAAATATTTTGCATGTCCGATTTTTTTGTCACTGTCCGACAACACCAGCAACCCCCCTTTACATGCCTGACCACGGAATCTTTAGAGAGGCCCTCATCTGGCATTCCCAGACTTCGCGCTTGGTTGTAACTACAGTACAGTACAATGCTTCTTGAACGGGATGGGCAGGCAAGTTAGTTGAAAGCAGCCATGAGTTGCGACCTCCTCACGTCAGTGGTCTGACGTCGGATTGAGGAGTGAGCTCAGAGCGGTTCGTGACATGCACCGGTTCGTGACATGCACCGGTTTGGTGGCGCCACGCCAGGGTTGTTCCAACTGGCAACCAGTCAGATGCACACGCACGTTGATTGGATGAGCGAGGAATAACGGGATTGAGTATGATCCATTCTGCTTAGAAAAATGGTAATAGTTTGGAGTATTTGGGTTTTACTCGTGTCAAAAGATATCTGATGTATTCCGTCGAATCCAAACTACCCCGCATTCGCCTCACATCGGCGACTGTGAGATCCCCACCATTGCGATCGTCCCTTCGCCCTGATAAAGCACTCCCGTCTCACAATTCTTCTCTGGCACTCACATTCCTAATCGCATCCCACAATCTTTCCGCAGCCATCGCCACATCGTAACCTAGATCCACTTATTCAGCATGTCAGGCAAGATCACCGCCGTCACCGCTCGCTCCGTCTTCGACTCGCGCGGCAACCCTACCGTCGAAGTCGATGTCACCACGCCCGGTGGCAAGTTTTCCGCCATGGTCCCGTCGGGTGCCTCCACGGGCATCTACGAAGCCCTCGAGCTCCGCGATGGTGACAAGAGCGCCTACCTTGGTAAGGGTGTCGATAAGGCCGTCGACAATGTCAAATCCAAGATCGCCGCCGCCATCATCGGTATGGACTCCGCCGATCAGGGCGCCATTGATGCCAAAATGATCGAGCTCGACGGCACCGAGGGAGGCTTCAAGAAGAACTTGGGAGCCAATGCTATCCTCGGCGTGTCTATGGCTGTCGCCAGGGCAGGCGCCAATGCCAAAGCGGTTCCGCTGTACAAGCATTTGAATGACTTGGCTGGAAACCCCAAGATGTTGCTGCCCGTGCCGAGTCTGAATGTCATTAATGGTGGTACCCATGCTGGAAATAACTTGGCTATGCAGGAGTTCATGATTCTGCCGGTTGGCGCTAGCAACTTCCGAGAAGCTATGAAGATGGGTGCCGAGACCTATCAGTACTTGAAGAAGGTAATTAAGAAGAAGTATGGCCTTGATGCCACCAGTGTGGGCGATGAGGGTGGCTTCGCCCCCAATATCCAGGACAACACTGAGGGTCTGAAGCTTTTGGAAGAGGCCATCGAAATGGCTGGCTACACTGGCAAGATCAAGGTTGGCATGGATGTTGCTGCCAGTGAGTTCTGGGTCGAGGCCAAGAAGATGTACGATCTCGACTTTAAGACTGAAAACAATGACGGCTCTCAATGTCTTAGCGGGGAGAAGCTCGGTGAGATGTACAAGGATTTCTGCAAGAACTTCCCCATGATTTCGATTGAGGACCCCTTTGACCAGGATGACTGGGAGTCTTACGCCAAGCTTACGGCAGCTGTCGGTGAAGGCGTCCAGATCGTTGGCGATGACCTCCTCGTCACCAACCCCAATCGTATTCAGACTGGTATCGATAAGAAGGCGTGCAATGCGCTTTTACTGAAGGTTAACCAGATTGGGTCAATCACGGAAGCCATTCAAGCATGCAAGATGTCGCGTGACGCTGGGTGGGGGGTTATGGTTTCGCATCGCTCAGGAGAAACTGAGGACAACTTCATTGCCGATCTTTGCGTCGGTCTCGGAACTGCGCAGATCAAAACAGGCGCCCCGTGCCGTTCGGAGCGGCTGGCGAAGTACAACCAGCTCCTTCGTATCGAGGAAGAGCTTGGTGACGCTGCTGTGTACGCTGGTGCCAAGTTCCGCACTCCTTGGGCAATCTAATAGAAAGTTGAGTAGCACTCGTAAAAACCAGAAATATCTCTAGCTTAACGAGAAGAAATTTCTGACCCTTTTAACTGTCACACTGTGCATTACTCCTGTCAACACACAATCAAAGAACCAGCCTGTGCAACTATGGTTCATAATAACTGCATGGGCTTGGCATTGCGCATGTGATGCCATAATATGTGAAGGCCTGAAGACGCTAGGGAACATATTTCTATTCACACTCGACCTTGCGCGTGGGAGTACAACGATGCTTCAATTATAGTCCGACGGCCGTGATCACTCTTCTCCAGACTCTGGTCGTTCATGTGAATGAGTCGACTTCGAACAGCCTGTGGCCGGACAACTGGGGTTGGGGCTGGAAAAGGGCCCCGTGCAAATGAACTCCGGTTGCAGTCCTTTGAAATTGGACGACACCTCGACACCGTACCCCATTTACATAGTGAGGTCTAGTTGCTTTGTGCATTGCATTGGCCTTCGGATATCCTGATTAGCCGAGCAGTGGCCCCATTCAGAGGCCGCGCTTGTGTGTTAGTGTGTTTATTGGGACAAGCGCTGTACCGTGAGAGTGAATTTTAGGTAATTTCTTTAATTAAAACACAAAACAATTTCTGAAAGCTGAAATCCGGCTGGAAGGCAGATGCCAGAGTCCGGTTTACAGAACCAGTCCTTTTCAAATTTTTGATGGTCAGTGTAAGTCGAGCACAAGGGGCTTGGTGCCCTGCAAATTTCGCCCCGAATAATTTTTTCGCCACTGTGAAGAGTCCGGCATAAACCTGTGTCACTGGCCTTCGGTGGCGCCATCATTTCCACCATCGTCACACCTTTCCCCTCTGCCTTCTCCCCTTCCCCTCCACGATCCTCTTCGTTCAACTGCGACATCGCTCTGTTCATCACTCCGCCTCAAAATGAATCCAGAATAGTAAGTGCTTCACAATGGCTTGTAATTGTGTGCTACAGCGGCCAACTTGGGCACACCCGCCGCACCTGCTGACATCTTTCTCGAATTACGTCATTCCGTGTCCTGCCTTTTCACCTTCTGCGTTGCGTAGCGATTACTTGTACAAAAACCTTCTTATTGGAGACTCGGTACGTTCTGTCGTCTTCGCTTCTGGCAAAGCGAGATGTGCCTGACGTGTTGCAAAGATCCAATATGTCCAGGCGTTGTTATCCAGCCCGCCGGTTATATCCTGTATCGTCGTTGCTAATGCTTTCCTAATACTTGTCTTTTCTTACGCATTTCTTTGCGCGCGGACACCGTTCCATGGGAAACGAAAACGCAGGGGTAAGTTGGGCGTGCAAAACATTCATCCGACGATGAAGTCGTGAGATTCGAAACTCATTCTAACCGTGTCATTGTCTCTATCTATTACCGAAATCGTACACTTGCGTCGCATCTACATCTATTTGCGTCTGCAGTGTGGGGAAATCATGTCTGTTGCTGCGTTTTGCGGACGACACTTACACAGAGAGTTACATCTCCACGATTGGAGTAGACTTTGTATGTACTTGCGGGACGCTCTGCACGCATCAATAGATTGCTCTAAAGGGCCGCAGCTTTCTGCGTCAAAGGCACTCAAAATCCTAACTCCGAATGATGCTTGTTAACTATTGCGAATGACCGCCACGCACAGAAAATTCGAACAATTGAACTTGATGGGAAGACAATCAAGTTGCAGATCTGGGACACAGCGGGCCAGGAACGATTCCGAACGATCACATCATCATATTACCGCGGTGCTCACGGCATCATCATCGTTTATGATGTCACTGACCAAGAGTCCTTCAACAACGTGAAGTCATGGCTCCAAGAAATTGATCGGTTCGCGTCGGAACATGTGTGTAAATTGCTCGTCGGAAACAAGAATGATATGACTTCGAAGAAAGTTGTCGACACAGCCACCGCAAAAGAATTTGCTGACTCGTTGGGCATCAGGTTTTTGGAAACGTCGGCAAAAACTTCAGAGAATGTTGAAGGCGCATTCCTTGCCATGGCTGCTGAAATTAAGGCCTCAACCTCGTTCCAACCTGCGAAGAACAATGCAGGTGGTACGGTGAATGTGTCGTCGAAGGACGAAGAAGTTAAGTCTTCATCCGGATGCTGTTAACAAATTAACGCCATGGCACTGCGCCGGTATGTTTAGACTTCTGTACAAAAACGCGCTGTTTGGTTGGAAGTGTATTGATGACTTGTGACTCATGCAGCGGTTACTTTTCGAGGTATGTAGTAGGTTATTCCAACATCCCAAGGCACCATTAAATGGACCATTACACAGCTCGGACGAATGAAACAGATTGCATGAGTTGGCTGGACTTGATGACCGTACAATGATCTATTGAAGCTTTTTAGTTCAACGGTAGCGTCAAGAGATGAATCGGCGGTTTCCGGTTGGTCCTCGACTTCTGCGCTCGCTTCATCTGCATCATAGCTGGCAAGGGAAAGATCGTTGTACGTCGTCGAAACCGATACGCTGTGTGTGAGCACACGCAATGAAAGACTCGCTTTTTGGTCGACAAGACGGGCATTGAGTTGAAGCTCATTGCTGAGCCCCTTCATACGATCAACAACTGTATGTAGCTTACCAAGTGGTGGCAAAGTAAACCCCTTAATGTATTCGTGTTCTGGCTCGTTGAATTCGGCCAGGCGGACCGCTGAAAGCACGATAACAGGAATGTCTTGTAAGATCGGACCTAGCGGGGTGCGAATTTCAAACGTCAAAACGGGGACGCCCTTCTTTGACAGTTTGATAAGAATTTCATCAGCTGCGGACGCAGAGCGTAGAGCTCGAAGCAGATTCTGCATGTCCATTTCAAGTCCAATTTGATTTTCATTCTGAGATTCAATGCGGTAGGATTCGAACCACTCGCTTCTTTTGAAGAGTGTGTAGGCAGCGACAGAGCCTGCGACATCTGCCTGCAAGACAATTCTTACAGAATCTATATCTTGAGGGCACAGATGAAGAACGCATCGTCTCTCTAGTTTGTCTAAAACCTGAATAACCCTCAGTAGATGCTGTACCTTGTCAACTTTGAGTCGAGTTTTGAAGCGCATCCGGAAATGTGAAAGGCTTGAGAAAGGGGAAACTCTTCAACAAGGCCAAAAAAGTGTCATCGATTCCGAGGACAGATCAGTCTTGGGACGTGATGCAGGGGGAGGATCACGCTGTCCACCTATTCCCCCAACCTCCTCTCTGTTGGCTTCCGGAGGCTGCATCTTAGTTATGTTCTTGCCGCCAAAAAGGGTCAGAGTCGATGATACAGTATGTGGAAATTTTAGTCATAAAAAAAGGCTGTTGAACGGAAATGAGTGGATGAAAACGTTGCTTCTTCTTTGTTTTTTTTTTTGTTTTTTTGTTGTCCGGCTGTGGAACCGTACGTACAGTAAAGTTTACCTTATTACCTAGCCTGAAACATGTAGGGAAGCCTGGAAGTGATTTGCAACGTGTTAATTGGCAATCAAGACATAAAACCTCCATTTTTCTGAAAAATCAAAGATTTCTGGCGCCGCCTGTCTGCAAACACTCGCATCACGCCATTTATTGGTACGCCAGAAAATTCCGGAATCCGCTGAGTTCCATGACTCGTTACTGGTCCTTTGAGCGTTGGTACCCCTGGTTGGAAGAAATTTAAGCCCTCCACGACGAGCACGTTTACCTGCTGCCTCGTAAAGACCACGTTGGTCCGTCGGTGATCCCGCAATCTCTTGGCCTCGCAGTAAGCAACGTTTTCTGCAACGCCACTCATTTCTCAAAACCATTCAGCACGCACCCTTTCATTCTTTCAAAATGGCCGACGTACCTCCGAGCCAACAGAGCAATATCATGCTCAAGCTCAAGAGCAAAGATGGCGAAACTTTCGAAGTTGAAAAGGCCGTCGCGACGCAGATCAACTTTGTAAAGGGAATGCTTGAGGACGTTGACGAGGTCGACGGTATGGAGATCCCTATGGGCGAGGTCGAAGCGAGCATCTTGGCAAAGGTCGTGGAGTTTTGCAAGTTTCGCCACCAACAGGAACTCAACCAAACGAGCCCCGACGAAGTCGACCGTTGGGAAAAGGCTTTTGTCCAAGTTGAGAAACCCACTCTCTTTCAACTCATTCTGGTATGCGATGGGCCTTTGTGTTTCTGCTGCATGCGGTAATTTTGAAGCGCGATTCCTTATATGTACTAATCTCTTTCGTGCGACGCTTCCCACACTCTAATAACGCAGGCCGCGAATTTCCTCGATGTTCAATCATTACTGGACTTAACTTGCAAGACGTACGTTTCAGTCCTTCTCTAGCCACGATGAGCTTGTCGCCAGCGGAAGACATCAAAGTCGAACACAGCTGCGTTTCAGCCCCATTCCAGATAGACTAACCATGACAATCGTATTTCGAATTCTGCGAACGATATCACGCGAAGTGTTGCAGACATGATTAAGGGTAAGACTCCTGAACAGATCCGAGCAGAGTTCGACATTGAAAATGACTTTACTCCTGAACAATTGGCCGAGGTACGTCGCGACAATGCCTGGTGCTCCGACGACCGTTAAGGTTGAATTAGGAGCGATGAAAAGTCCGCAAATGAGAAAGGAGGCCCACAGATGCACTTTTGGACAAGAATACTCTTCATTGGAGGGATAACTCGGATTCAAAAGCGTCTTTTTTTCCGCATTGCAAGTTTTTACCCTGGTCGAGGTTCTACTCGCGTTCACGGCTATAGGAAGATTCATCTGTGGCGCGCTACGAAAGCCCTGACCGGCACTATTTGCAATTAGTATTCGCTATCACTTCGCTTTTGCTTCTAACGGTATTGTAAAAACATTGTTCCTCAAGTGCATCACAAATTGCATCTTGACTGCAGCATGCACGATGTATTGCAAGTGTTTTGCGTTACGAGTGTTAATTCCACAGACTGCCTAGGAAAAACTATTGATAAATAAGCTTGTCGACTCCTGCGCCCTAGTGCAAGAAATCTGACAAAAGGGGTGGCCGCAACGGGTACAGCCACAAACCTTGAGTTGGTTGCATAGCTTCCTTGGATTCGAAGTGGCACTCACGCTTCGCAGGAGAATCGGGGTTGATGGTTCGCATTGAATGCATGAAACGCCGAGGCACCGGGAAGTGAATGCTGCGCGCTCTTTTGAGCGTCCGATTGCTCTGAAGTTGTACAGCATGAGAGGTTATCACCTGCATACCTACGAATCTACGTGCCTCACACGAGCGCGAAACAATGTGTTTTCGCGGAAGTGGGCCCGCGCACGGAAATAGCTCAAGAATACTCGCACTGACGTCATTTTCACTGCTACTAGCCAGGACTTCGCTAGAGCGATCGGCTTGGGCGCGAATGTAGGGTGGGATATGAAATGCTCTTCGCATAGAAATTAGAGCTGACGTGCCGATTTCAATCGTGCACGTGATACTCCGCACACAAATTCGAAGCTTTCGGAAAGCAAAGAAAGGACAACCCTACTTGCAGAGTCTCTCGAAAGATACATGTGTAGCAAAATGTAAGATGACCATTAATTATTCTCATTAACGAGAACAATAAGGTAAAGAGGTTGATTTTCTCTAAAAACCTGGACTTGGTGGTTTTTATTTATGCAGTAACACACGGTTGTAGCACTCATTGCAGTACTGCAAATGCGAAGAACTCCATTGCATTTGGGCTGATGCCAGAAGTTGCGACGTTCCTTTTGATACTGTATGTGCTGTATGAATCTGAGGATCAGATGCAGAAAATGCACGTGCAAGAATGGTTATCGAAAGAAAGAGTGTGGGTGACTTTGCGCCGTTGCGATGGATAACTGCTGAGCGTCCTATCTCTTTATGGACGTACACCAATAGGACACAACTTTTCCGAGGTTGGCCCGTAGTGCTCCTTTCCGTAGCACGGTATGGCTCAGTACGTCACACACTTTTCGACCCGGGGCCGAAAGAGACACACGGACGAGTCGTGCCTCGTGTTCAGTGCAGTGGTCCGCAACAGTACAGTAATGTGCGCATGTACTGTAAGCTACCCCGATGCTGTCGACAGTGTTGCCCATTGCTTCAGCGCCACGTGCATATACACGATTTGTCAACAGGTACCAAGAAATTTTTTCTGGCAGATGCCAAGTGTGCTGTCGGTGGCGCGTCCCGAGCCACTAAATGGAGATCACCCTAGATCGCACCTGGCTGGCCCTTGGCAACGTTTCCGCCATTTTCGCCCATCAATCTTCCTCTTCGGTAAAGCTCAATCCCATACCTCAAATCAAGGAATAATGCCTCCCTCCTCTTCTATTAACCCTTGTGTCGCGACAGCCATCGTATTCTCCGTCTGCTATCCCATTCCAGTCTCCAGTCTCCCAAGGTCTGCGCTTCTATTCCTTTTTTCTCTTCCCCCCTGCGCCTGCACGTAAGCAAACTTGCCGGGCATAAAACAATGAACTTAGCTATCACCTCCACGCGCACTTTGCTGCGCCGCAGCGTCGGCAAAGTATCCAAAAGGGAACTTGCTATGGCTGCTGCCGCGGAGCCTGAACTAAAGACGACCATTCTTCACGACAAGCATGTCGACCTGGGTGGTAAGATGGTTCCATTTGCCGGGTATGCCATGCCTGTGCAATACCCGGACGGAATCAAAGACTCGCACCTTTTCGTGCGCTCCTCCGCCGGCCTGTTTGATGTATCTCACATGGGACAGGTGCGCCTGCATGGCGCTGACCGCGTTCGTTTCATTGAGAAGCTAGTTGTCGGCGATATCGCTGGTCTGGACGAAGGCACTGGAGTGCTATCAGTTCTGACAACGGAGAGCGGTGGTATCATCGATGACACTATCGTGTCAAATTTGGGTGGCAACCTTCATGGAATGGTGATTAATGCCGGGTGTAAGGACAAGGACGTCAAGCACATGCGCGAACACTTGGCGGAGGCCAAGCAGGCTGGGATGGATGTGGACCTTGAGGTGGTCGAGGACCACGAGCTCTTGGCGCTACAAGGGCCCAAAGCTATGGAGACGATGCAAAAGTTTAGCCCTAATCATGACTTTGTCAAGATGGCGTTCATGTCAGGTGTTAATATTGATGTGATGGGAATTCCGTGCCATGTGACGCGGTGCGGTTACACCGGGGAGGATGGGTTCGAGCTGTCCGTGCCTGGGGACAGAGCGTTGGAGGTATTCGAGGGGTTGATTGCAGAAGACGCGGTGCGGCCAGTGGGGCTTGGAGCGCGTGACTCGTTGCGGCTTGAGGCGGGGTTGTGCTTGTACGGGAATGACATTGATGACAGTACGACGCCCATAGAGGCGGGGCTGACTTGGACGGTCGGAAAACGGCGTCGTGAGAGCGGAGGGTTCCTGGGGGCGGACGTTATCCTGGGTCAAATCAAGAACGGGACGTCGCGACGACGGATGGGATTTGTGATGGAGAAGGGGGCGCCGGCACGTGGTGGGGAGGCGCTGATGAACGAGGAGGGAGCGGTTGTCGGGAAAGTGACCAGCGGCGGTTTTAGTCCGTCGCTCGGGAAGGCAATTGGGATGGGGTACGCGGACAAGCCGTTCAACAAGAGTAAGACGAAGCTCGCGGTGCAGGTGCGATCGAGGACGAACGCGGTCGAGGTTCGCAAGATGCCTTTGGTTCCTGCCAGCTACTACAGCGTGCCCGAGTAGGAGGGGGCTGTATCCTTCTGTAAACGCAGTAAGGACTTACTGTACAGCACTAGTGTATGACTTACACTACTACTGTATGTCGACAGAATGTAAGCAGGTTTTTTTTAGGGTGTGGCAACCGGCGGGTTCGAAGTTCCTCGCGAGCGAACGTGGACGACGCCGGCGGGCGAGGGAGGCGCGCGCGCAGGGAGGAAGCGAGGGCGAGGGTCTCTCTGAAGGGCGGCTCCGTTGGCGATGCTCCCCGAACCGATGATCCCCGCCTCTGGGGATCTGTCGGGGGCTGCCTTTATTATCTCAAGGCTAACTGTCGCGCGCGGTAGTGGCATTTCGCTTCGCTCTTGAAACGAAAGGCTGGCAGGGGCCGCTCTCCGTCTCACAGCACTGGGCCCTTGGCCGGGCCACCGATGTGCCTGACACGACGGAGCCCTCCCCCGCACTACACCTCGGGCCTTCACGCATCCGGTCGCCTCGAGTAGACCAGAGCGCCCTTGCCCGCGAGGCACGTCGACCGGATGCGATCGACGAAGAGCCGCAGCGCGACGCAGGGCGGTAGTACCGACTCGGTACAAGGGTAGGGTGGCAGGCTCTGGCGCTGTGGGCCGAGGCTCGTGCCTTTGACCCCGCGGGCTCTTCAGCGGGGCGTTCAGATGAGATGTGAGGTGGCTGCTCCACGTCAGCGGGGCAGGCAGTGTGAATGCGAGGGGGTGCGAGGGGGTGTGAGGGGCGTTATTTCGGACATGTGCACTATCTTGGTCGCCGTTGTAAAGCCGTGCGCGAATATACTGTGGCAAGTATGGCGACGCGCGATAGGACGCCGGTGCGCTCTCAGCACATCGAACCGTGTGAAAAGTCACATCGGCTGGCGACGATTGAGACGTTACCGGCCTCACAAAGAAGAGCGCCGCGAAGCAGAGTGGCGAAACCCCGAGGCGAGACCCAATGCGAAACGTGAACGCTCTCAGCGGTGTCTCCCGAACGCCAGGCATCTTCCCAAAGCCACTGTGTTGCATCTGATTTGCGTTGCACGTGCCGTCCAATCGCCGGGCGTGTGCGCCCGCATTCTTCAGAAAAATACGACGCACAAATCAGTTTTGTACACCCGAAGTAATATAAGGCCGCCCCACCGCCACCCTGCCATGCAATTGGTCCTCCCCCCTCTGCCTCACCATGGCACCGACCCGCACCGCACCCGGCCCTGCTCCCTCACATAACCGTCGCAAAACACATCCTGCCATCCCTTTCCCTCCTGCACCCCCTACCTCACCAATTTCACTCCCCCGCCTCCTCCCCTCCCCCCCCCCCTCCCTACCTATCCACCCCCCACTCCACTCTCCAACATCAACCTTCCATCACCCGCGCTATCCGGCCACCCTTGCCACCCCACACCATCCGGCCCCACCTCAACGATTTCGGCCACCCCATCTCCTAGGGTCGGGGCGCCCCACGCGCCAGCCCCTGCCCCGACCTCGCGCGCCCCCCCCTCCACCATCTTCGAAGAGGAGCTGCACTTCGTCCGCGTCCACTCCACCCGCGCCCCCGACCAAGAGGCCACGACTATCCACCCGCCCTTCCCCGACGACCTCTCGGATTCCGACACCGCGTCTGCCCCGCCTACCCCCGACAGCCACCGCCTCCTTCACCGCCACTCTAAGCAATTCGCAAAAGCCCACACGAGCATCGGCGAGAGACGTCGCCCGTTTTCAAAGCGCCCACCCCCCCATCCGGCAAATCTCTCTGCTGCCGCCCCGCCCCCGACCCGTCAGCGAGCCCGCCCGCATCCTGTGGGAGACGACAGCCCTTCTTCGGACATCGACGACGACGACGACGACGCCGCCACTAACGTCACCCTCGGCACAGACCGCTCTATCTCCTCGCGGAGCTCAGGCAGTCGCCGCCGTCGCGCGAAAATGGCCGCGAAAGTCGTGTCAAAGCCCATCAAGAAGAGCTATGTTGGCATGGTCGCAGGTTTGGCGAGCACCGTCGGCCTGGGGCAGGCTATGTTTTTGAAAGCTACTTATCAGTCCCCACCGGACGCCCGTGGGCCCCGTTCCGGTGTCGAGCGCCCCGTCGCTAGGCTGAACACTCAGACACTGTCTAGCTCCGAGGGGCATGTCACTCGCATTCTTACCGCTTCGGACGACGCGCGTGTTTCTCATCATGCAGGCGCAGCTGGCGCCTCCGTGTCGACGCAGAGTGCTGTCAATGACGCGGTTGATGCCGCGGTTGAAAGCGTTAGAGCGCAATTGGGTAACATTGATCTTTCGCCAACTGTTGAAAAGCACGGCACAAAGACCGTCACGAAGCATAAACGCATTTTGATTATCGGCGATTCTTTGGTCAGCGGCGTTGGAGGGCTGTCCAGTTTTGAGGATGGCCCCAGTGATGGACCGGCTCTCCCGCGACAGGTCGCGCGGTATTTGTCGGAGATGCTTAACGTGGATGTGCAATGGAATGCCTTGAGTTTGACAGGTGGCGATGTGCGCATGCTGAAGAGGAAGATCGTACCCATGCTCACCAGGGAGAAGGAACGGGGCACAATTGGCGACATTTCTGCCGTCGTTCTTGTCACTGGCGTGAACGACTGGAAACGAATTTCTCCAATCCGCACCGCCAACAAGTTTCGTGAGGATCTTGCCGAGTTTGTTATTAAGATTCGTGAGCAGCTTGGTGACGATGTGAGCGTTTTCTTGCCGGCCATTCCTGGCGTACATCACACGCCTCGATTCCATGAGCCCTTGCGATCGATCGTCATCTTTTTAAATGACTACTGGGACTCGCAAAAGTTGCAACTCTCTCGAAGCATGGCTGGGGTCTACTTTGTTGGCCAACCACCAAACCATGAGTGGGGAACAAACCCTGTCCAATTTTTCTCGACGCTTGACAGGGTGCATCCCTCAGAGCTTGGGTATGATCGATGGGCCGAGCGAATCGCTGAGCACATGGTCAGCGCATTTGAAAAGATTGCCAGTGCTGCGAAAGAAACTGTTGCCAAGGCTTCAATATCTGCGTCTTCCACCTTGGTAAAGGCGACGACCTCGGCATCATCTGTGGTGGCAAACGCTACACAAAGAGCGGCAGGCGCTGCTTCCAGAGCGGTGCAAGTAACACAGAAGTCAACCGAAGCCGTTAAGCATATTGCCACTAAGTCCAATGATGGCGCTGCTGTGCCTATGACTGCCCATGCTCTCGGCGGTGTCAAGCCTTCTGAACAGAACAAGTCGCCATCGTCATGAGGTTAAGAGGTTAGGCAGAGTAAGGACACACTTCAATGACGAAGATGCATTTGCTCTGCCATTTTCACATGTGGAAAGAATGAAGGTATGTAGTTTGGGGAGGAGCCAAGCGCGGTTCACAAGGGGGAGTGGGAAGACAAGCACAGCTCTGACCACTAGTTGGACTTTGCTGTCAGGTTTTGAGGCTATTAAGATTAACTGCCGCAGTGAGTGGCTAGGCACCGGTAGACGTGGGTCCGTGTGCGACGTTTTGGGTTCGCTAGATAGCGGCGTTACAATCAAATACCATTGACTTTTTTTTACTTACATCAAACAGAAACGTATTGCAGTGAGGTGAGTATGCGCTTAAAGATAAATCTTTGCATAATATATCTTTGTGAGTTGCAGGGCTCTCCCGCGCCTTGTAAATTGTATGTCATCCGTTGACCAAAGGTCGAAATACAAAGCTTCTGGCGTTTGTTCAAGAGCAGTAATGCCTTGTAAAGTCAATTGCACCTGAAAAAAAGAAAAGAAGCTTGCAAGTCTTGCCTTTGTGCATCTGGTGCCTGACAATTGGGGTGCGGTCAGGGGCACAAGATAACGTTATCAAGCATAGACATGTTTCAAGAACTCTGGCAATGCTTAGGTTGTAGAATACCGGCATCGTACATGTCGACATACAGCGTAACAGCAGAGAAGTGTGAGTGGAGGTGTGGAGTAGAGGATGTTGACAGGGTTCAGGGTTCTCTGGAGAGCCAGAAAAACGAGTATTATTGGTCAAAAAAAGAACCGGCATCACACTAATTTCCGTTGGAGGCTGAATGGCTGGCACAGACGCTACGCGGCAGGCGCCCGTGCCTGTCGGACATTCCTTACAAGGTGGCCAGCTCACGCCGGCGGGCAGCGCGAACGCAGACGGCATCGCAGTTTCGTCGCTCAACTACGGCGAACGTCGCGGCACTCCCCCCAGTTCCTTGAGCTGGAGGAGAAGCCTGAATGGGGATCCAAGACGGGAGCATCCAACAATCCCCACTGTTCTTGTTGGCGAGGACCCTATTCCAGAACAATAGTGAGCAAACACCCGCGTCCCGCACTGTCGCCCCATCGCCACCTTCCGAGTACGGCCTCCATTCCCTGCAAGACAACTGCCGGCGAAGGTCTCGAAACGACCCCATCGATAGCGTCATTCGTAATGCGCTATCCTCGACGATGGGCGCTAGCGTGGTCGCCACAGTGGTGACGCCGCTGGACGTTGTCAAGGTTCGTCTGCAAGCCCATGTATGTCCCGTCGGCGGCCACTCCCCGTGTGAAGATCCCAAGCATGTGGAGGGCTCTTTAGATGCCGCGCGAAAAATCGTTCGCTCGGAGGGCGTGCGCGGCTTGTGGCGGGGGCTGAACGTCACGCTGTTGATGGCCATTCCGACCACGGGTGTTTACTTTACCCTGTACGAGGCGTTTCGGGAAAAAATTGGCAACTCGTTCCCCGAGGCCTCAAAGCCCGCCTCGGCCATCGCCGCTGGGGCGATGGCAAGGACGGCGGCATGTTCGGTGGCTAGTCCTTTAGAGCTTGCACGAACTAGTCTACAAGCGGGGGTCGGTGGGCCGAACGCGACTGTGCTTTCGGTTTTGAAGCATGTCAAAAACACGGATGGGTGGTCGGCGCTTTGGCGTGGGTTGGGACCAACGCTGCTGCGCGATGCTCCGTTTTCCGCAATCTATTGGAGTGTATATGAGACTCTCAAGGATCCGCAGACATCTGTGCTGCCAAAACCGCTTTTCGCGTCAGGTACCTCATACAGCGTGTATCTGTGCGCTGGAATTGGAGCAGGTGGTTTGGCGGCTTTGTGCACGGTTCCAGCGGACGTCGTCAAGACAAGGAGGCAGGCATCTTTTGCACGCGGTGCAGATGGGCGGTCGGTCGCCCCCAGAGCGATGACTATTGCAAGACAGATTATATCTGATGAAGGGATTCGTGGACTGTTTCGCGGTGCTGGACCACGAATTGCGAAAGTGGCTCCCGCGTGCGCAATTATGATGGGTTCATATGAGATTTTCAGAAAGGTTTTTGGCGGGACAGCATGACGCCCGCGTTTGTTGGCCGAGGGAAGAAATGTTTTGCGGCGGGCGCGGGTCCGCGAATCACGGGGCGCAGTTGGGAGATACGGGGAGGGTCCGTGGACTCTTGCCTTTGCGATTTTGTCATGTCCTCGCGGGCAGGAAACCTCCGAACGTTTCGGACACGGGTAGGGTGTGTGCCTATTCCATTGAATACTACTGGTTATCCCACTACTGTTGGGACGCTACAGCGTGCCTCAAACATTCAAGTGTAATACTGCAAATCCGGAGAGATAGCGTACCACACGCAGCCAAATTACATGACTCCATTGTCCGCCGACAAACAGCAAGCGCGGATCACGGGTGGCTAGTTCTAATAATTTGCTGTCCAGCGGGATTCATTCGCTTCTAACTTTGGATGGCAAATAGTTTTTGCTACCGTACGAGAAAACGAAACATGTAAAACAAAAATGACTAAAAACGGTTGATTTCAATGACAGGCGTCAGAACAAGAACAAGCAACGCAACCGAACTAGACAAAGACCTTGCTAAAGTTTGTGCCGCCTCGGCTGAGTGTAAAGACTCGTACGTAAGACGTGGAGCTCAGGCGCGCACCGTTCGTTTACAGAGATCGGGCCTACACATTATTCATGGGTTTCGTTCAATTCCACTCCTACGCAAACACAGTGAAAAAAGCACGTCTCTTGGTACGGACGGCAAAGCGTTTTGTGTCAAGAGATGCTAAATCTCGTGCACGGCTCGTTGATCCATGGCGGGCACCACACGGAAGCAATGTCAACTAAAAATTACTTGTCGGATCCTTGAAAAACAAAATTGGCGATAAAAGGCAGGCGTGCTCCGAGGAGTTATCCAACGTCGGCAATCTCATAGGATTCCACGGGGCCCTACACGATGCGTGGCCTAAGCACATGAAAGAGACACAAAGAAAAAACTCCATCCATGGTCAGTTTTCTCAGAAAAAACATCAGTGTATGTTGCAGGACAGGCTCCACCCGCGTCTCCCCGCCCTTCGGCCGGTCGCGGTCTTTTCCACCCACGCCGTGAGCAAAAACGAGTCGTCCCGTAAAGCTCAAACCAGCTAAAAAAAAGGGGGGAAAACCAAGGAACACTGCCCTTCCCCCAGGGCTTCCGGTTCCAGCTCGGGCCGCGCACGTCATCCTTGCCCTAATCGAGACCGTCACGATACAAGGACGGACCTTTCATGCCCGCCACGCACGCTTCCACGGCTACAGACATGAGCTCCGGTCTCAAGGCAAGCCTCCCCCCTCCCTCCCCCCCTTTCGAGAGGTTGAACGACGAGTGTTCGGCACACATCGCAACGGCACCTCGCCTACCCATCAACCCGGACAGTCTCCATCAACGAGCTCTACCTTCCCCCCCTTGTTCTCCCTCCCCCCTCCCTCCCCTCCCCCACGCGATCACGCACGGCCCCCAGGCTTGCTCACGACCCGGGCACGCCGCGGGGACGCACTCCCTTGCGGGCATATCTTCTTTCTGTGTTTTTGTATAGCGCTGTGGAAGACCGTCGAAAAGACACGCGCTTTTTTCAGTACGCCACGCGGAAATCCGCGCTAGGGGATTAGGGATTGGGCGCAGAAGGCGCGACGACGCAGCGATCGTGCCGAGGCAGTCTCAAGCCGCGACGCCGCTAGTCCGCGCCCCGGTGAGTGCGGCGTGCGCGCATCGTGGCAGAGCCGGGGGGGGGTGTGTGTGGGATGCACGATGATCACGGTTGGG